GCCAGGCGTGGCCAAGCCTGCCAACCACAGAAAGGATCAGGTTGCCCCTGGCCACCCTCAGGCAGGCGGGGTACGGGGCAGGACCTGGAGCCCCTCACCTCGATGCTCCCCTCCCCCAAACACAGTCCTGGGTGGCTGTCACCCCTCGAGCCTTCCGTAGGATCCGCTCTGGCCCGGACTTTGCACTTGCAGCTGCAAGCACCCCGGTCCCAGACGGCTTGAGAGGCAACAGGGCACCTGGGCGCAGGACACGCTCTTCCTGGGTGGGGGCGTCCTGTGGGAACCCCGCGGCTAGAGCCAAGCCCAGCAGCACCTGGTTTCCCCTTTGCACTGCCGCCCAGGCTGTGCCCTCCGCCTGGTAGGTCCTTCCAGATACACATGGCTCCCCAGGCCCAAGAGAGCTGTCACCACTGCCGCTGCAGGGGCACTCAGAGCTGCAGCTGACCGCAGCGGGCGGGACCCACGAAAACTGAGGCGCTCGGAGCTGCAGCTGACCGTAGTGGGCACGGGGCACTTTGAGACCAGGGTCCTAGGCCTTGGGCCACCTCCAGGTCCCTCCCATCTTTACCTTTGGGAAACGGCCCATCCTTCAAGGCGTGACCCCAGAAACCTCCAAGCTGAGCTGCCCTCCATTGACAGGGACAGCCCACCCAGGGACAGCTCTCAGCCCAAGCCGGGGGCTTCCGGGGGAGAGCCTGCACTGTGGGAGGGGGTCTAGGGTGGGGTCTGTCCTGCTCGATCGCTGGTGGGACACAGGCCTTTCCAACAGCTCCAGGGGGGCCAGGGAGACAGGCGTGGGGGCTCCCTACATGCCCTGGAGCTCTGACCACAACTGTTTGAGAACAGGGTCCTGCTACTTTGAACTTTTAAACCGAGCCTGTGCCATGAGCAGGCTGGGCTTTCCCCCGATCCCCAAAGAGCTGCTGCCCTTGAGCAGAGCACTCTGTTCTGAGCCTGCTTCCAGGCTGGTAGGCGGGTTAGACAGACAGAGGCATGCCTGCAGCACCGAGGGCGGAGGCTCACGGGGTGGGGAGCGATCCTCAGACACAGTAGGTAGTCCACACACAGCCAGCAGAGGCCCACCTGGCTCCCCGCTCGGTCTCCCTTCATTTTGCTCTGGCCGCACCCCTTCTCTGGGCCTCAGCCCCCAACGGCACCCCAGGGCCGACTCCAGCCAGTCCCCCCACCCCCGCCATCTCCAGGGCCCACACCCTGCAGCCTCTCACTGGCTCTCAAGCTGCCTTCTGCTCAACTTTCTAAAGCCAAACACGTCCTCCATGCCCCAGACACCTCCCCTCCCACTCCTGCCTCTGCTCTCCCATCTGCTCCAGCTCTGGGCCATGGAGTACCTGCGGGCCTACCTGTCTCCCCCTCCCTCACCTGTTCCATCTTTGCTGGCTTCCCCCACCTCAGGACTCCTCTCCAGCCTGCCTGACTCCAGCACCCCACACGAATTCTCCGAAAGGTCCCTCGAGGACCTGAAGGGGACATCCCAGCTCCCTCGGTGTGGCAGTCCCAGCTCCTCCCTCTGGCCCACCCACCAGTCTGCAAGCCCAGCCAGGTGAGCTGCGGGGCGGTCCCCACAGCCCCACCGTCTCTCGTGAGCTGGACTGACCCTTCATCTGACAGTCCTGCCCCAGCCACCTCCTCCTCAGTTCCCACCAACAGACAAAGGGTTTCCAAGAGCCCCACATCTTCCTGTGGGCCCCAGCTCTGAAAACAGCACACAGAGCCTGCTGTCCTCCAGGCTTCTGGGAGCGGAGCCCCAGCCACATCTGCTGCCCTGTTCCATGTCCTGAAGGGGCCAGAGTGATACAGGCCAGAAGGCCACATGGCGGCCACAGCATGCCCGCCTGGACCTGCTCGGGAACCCCCTGCACCCTCTGCATGTGCCCCCTCCCCTCCAGCAAAGAAGCCTTTCCTGCATCAGGGACAGGACAGACAGCCTCGGCAGTGACCCCTGTCCCCCAGCAGAACCTAAAGACCCATCCCCCCACCAGAAAACACGACACCGCCTGGGACAGAGGCCTCCCCAGGGCTGCCGATACAGGCGACCCCAGGATGTTAAGGACAGCTGTGCGGAGATGCCCAGGAAGAAGGAAGATGCCCTCGAAACCACAGCCACACCAGCCTGGGAGAGGCCGCCTAACACCAACGTGAGTGATAGAACCCGCTTGCTGAGCTCAACACCACACAAGAAGCCTGGCCACTGAAAAGATGCAATAAACAGTGTAAGCTGGACCATCAGAGGGGTGTCTGGCTGGGCGGAGGGGGCAGCCCCACCCACACCTGCACTCCACACTGGGCAGCGGCCCCCCACCCCGCCTCTGATTCCGGAAGGCCTCATCTTGGGGCAGAGCCGCAGGCCCATCTGCCAAAGGGCCCTGGCTCGGGACCTGCCAGGCTGAGAGGCCCAGCGGTCGCCCGCTGACTCCCTCCCTGACTGCAGCTTCCCCTTTGCAGGACTTGGGCAGAGCTCAAGTGAAGAGCAGGGAGGACCCAGGCATGCTGTCGTCCAGGGAGGGAGGCAGCACTTGGAACTACAGTCCTTCATTCTTCCGCTGAGGTCTCCTGGCAGAAAGCCTAGCCCCAGATAAGGTCAGACGTTTATCTCCGGAGCAAAAGGACAGGCCTGGGAAACTGCAACTCTCTCGGCATTTGATGCCGAAGACCAGCCAGCAAGCCCAGTGGCCAGGCCCAGTGCACCCACAACCCCAAGGCCCCACGTCCACCAAACTCCAGATGACCCTTCAACAGAAGGGACAGAGAGACAGCACCAAGAGGACGGCCTCCCCCGAAGCCCTCCTGGGATGCAGGTGTTCGGTGAAGCCAGAAGGAACACAGGATGGACAGACCCCCCCAGGGAGGGGGCCTCAGCTAGACCAACCGCCGACTCCCCTCAAAGGGGAGAGGGACCCGGGGAGGAAGGCTGCTAGCTTTGTGTGCCACTTGGAGCTGCTTCTAAACATCATATGGCAACGTGTTGTTGACACACACGCGCGACATAGCCTTTTGTATTCATTACTGTTAATTACAGTGGAAACCTCCTGTAATTAACTGTACAACAAGATAACTCGATGAAGAGTACGGAGACCAGCCCCTGCCATGGAGACGGCTGAGCACGGCGCACGTATAATTCATTGCTGTCACCACTCACACGACGATGCTTCCTTATAATCACATTTTATTGGTACGATAATTAGATTATTTCACTGCTTCCCACATTCTGCTGCCCCAGGTCCCTCCCCCACTGAGGATTTCACCAACTACAGTTGATCCTTGTAGGAAACATGCATATTTTCAACTCAGATGAACACCGGCGTCTGCCACCTCTTCCTTGAACCCCGGGCCACACCACCCCCACTCCCAACAAGTGCTGCCCTGCTGCCAGGGGCCCCTCAGGGCCTCAGTAGTTGGAACAGAGGCTGTCTACCCAGAGTGGGAGAGGGGCAGCTCCCCCCGCCCCCTGCCAGGTCCCTTCCGGGGCGCTTTGCCTTAGTTACATCACAGCCACTGCCCTCCCCGGAGAGCCCAGGGCCTGGCCCACTTTCCTCCCTAACAGCATCTCCTAGCTCCACTTCTGTGCCACCAACGGGGGCTTGGGAAGGGCCTGCGGCCTCCCTGGCCAGAGCAGCTCCCTCCTGGGCCCCCACCCTGCACCAGCGGGGTGGGACCAGCACCGCTGCACCCTCCTCCTCCCTTCCTCCTCTCCCCTGCCGGCCCCAGGTCTAAGGAACTTCCCAGAGAGACAGGGAGAAGCAGTCAGTGCCAACCGGACCTCTGGGCTGCCAGGAAGGCCCATCCTGGGAGAAGAAAGAAAATGGCTGAGGCTGGCCTCCCACAAAGCCACTCTGTGAACGCCTGGCCAGCTGGATGAGGGGATGGCTGCTAGGCTGGGACCTAGCCTGATCACCAGAAAGACAGCCAGGACCAGCCAAGGAGCTCCCTCCTCCCACAGGCTGGGTTTTGCAACCTCTGGCCTGGGATCCCGAATAGGGCCGGGTACCAGCCTCCCTGTCCCTCCCCTGGGGCAGTGCCCTGTCGCAGACATTCCAAACAGCGGCTAGGAGGAGTGCAAGGCGCTGTCCAGCCGTCCGAGGCGCCTCGGTACTCTCCCACTCTCACCGTGGAGGAAGGCCCGAGCCTGGCCAAGGTGGCCTGGTCCGCCCGCAGGACGCGTAGGGCCACCTCCCTGCCCGCCGCCGCCAGGAGTTGGGGGTCGCGGCCGGGGGCGCGCGGCCCGGGGCGCAGCTGCTTGGGCAGCACGCCTATTAGCACGGCCGCGGCAGACGGCAGATGGGCGCCCGCTCGGCCCCCTCCTCCCGCGGCACAATGGGCCCGGTCGCTCCGGCGCACAATGCGGCCGGGGCCGCGCACCTGCAGCCGGAGCCGAGGGGCGCTGGCCCGGCCCGGCCCGGCCCGGCCCATGCGCCCCTGTCAGCGCCGCGTGTCCTTGGGCCGCGCCCGGCCGACCGCAGCCGCGCGGCCTGCGGGCTCCGCGGCGGGACCCGGCGCCCAGCTGCCCATTGTTCGCGGCCGCCGGCCGGAGCCGCGGGCCGGGCCTACAGCTCCCCGCTCGGGACGACCTCCTTCCGGGCCTCCCCCCCACCCCCACCGCTCGGCGCGCAGTCAGCACGGCCTCCCCGGCGGCGGGCCTGTGCGCCCCTGAGCCCCCGGTCCTTCCCGGCGCCCGGTCCCCATCCATGTCCCCAGTCCCCTTCGATGTGCCCGGGCCCCTGGTTCCCCCGCCACGCACACACACGTGTCCCCGGGCCCCCTCGGTGCCCCCGGTCCCCACGGACCCCCGGCCTCCCCGAAGCCCCCTGACCCCCGGCGCCCCGGTCCCTCCAGCCCCCGTTCTCCATCGATGTCCCCGGTCCTCTGCCGCCCCCCTCCTGTGTCCCGGTCCCCTAGTTCCCTACCGCCGTTGTCCCAGGTACCCTCGGTGCTCCCGCTCCCCCGGACCCGGGTCTCCCCGAAAGTCCCGGCCCCGCACGCACCTGTCTGCCCCTTGCCCAGCGTCTTCTCCAGCCGGTAGGGCCCCACATACTGCGCGTGCTGCGCCCCGCCGCCGTCCTTCCCCGTCGATGTCATCGCTCCCGGGCCCGGCACCGGCGAGGTGGGAGCCCCGGGCGGGCGGGCGGCGGCGGCAGGGAGGGGCCGCGTCCGTCCGCGTCCGTCCGTCCGTCCGTGCGCTGGGCCGGGTCGGCGGCGCCCGGGCGGGCCGCGCTCGCTCCGCGCCCCCCGCGCCTCCCCGCGCCGCCGCCCCCCGCGCCCGGCTCCGCTGCGACCCGGCCGGCGGCGCTGCCTCAGCTCTCAGAGAGGACCGGGCGGGCGGGGGCACCAGGCTTCCGCCGCCGCCGCCGAGGCCCGCGCCCCGCGCCCCGCGCCCCCCGCGCACGCCCGTCCGTCAGTCCGCGGCCGCGCAGCCCAGCCGAGCCGAGCCGCCGGGCCGAGCCGAGACGCCGAGCTGAGCCGAGCCGAGCCGAGCGGCCGAGCCGAGCCGAGCCGCGCCGAAAGGCCGGGCCGAGCCGCGCCGAGCCGAGCCGAGCTTAGCGGCCGAGCCGAGCCGAGCCCGAACGAGCGCAGCCGCCCGGGGCGGTGGCGGCGAGTGGCTCTTGCGCCCGCCAATCAACATTACCAGCCAATAAGCGGAGCTCCGGCTCGTCGCTCCGCCTTTCAGCCCGCCCCGCCGCTGGGCGCTCTCGTAGGAGATGGACTCCGCGAGGCGAGGCCGGGCGGGTCCGGGGCGGGGCGGGGCGGGACCGGGATGGGTCCGGGGCGGGGCGGGGGCGGGGCCTGACCGGGCCTGGGCGTCTCCAGGTCCACCGCCCCCCCACCCCCTGGCCTTCGCCCCGCCCGGACCCCGCCCCGACCGCCGAGCTCCCGCAGCGGAGCAAGCGGTCCGGGAGGCGCTTCCCTGGCGGGTGCCGCGGCGGCACCCCCAGTCCCCCCCGTTCCCCTGGCCCCCCCCGGCCCCCCCGTGCCGTCCCTGCGGGCCCCGATCACCGCGGTCAGACGAGTCTCTCGCCGCCTCCCCTGCCCCGGGAGGGGCGGCGCCGCGGGGGGCGAGCGGCCGAGTCGTGACTTTGCACCTCGCGAGGCCGTGCCCGGGGCGCTGGCCTCCGCTCCATTTGCCCGGGTGTCCTCGGTGACCCGCACAGCGGGGTCAAGGAACTCACCCAGGGTCACACAGCAGCAGCGGCCTCCCTCCGGGGGCGGCTCCCGGGCTTTTGCGCGGACCATCTTCCGTGGGCTCGGCGGCCGGGCCAAGGCGCACTGGCCCCGACGGCTCCCGAGAGGCGTCCGCAGAGGCGGCCAGACGTGGAGGGCCCCCGTTTGTCTCGGAAAGACGCTAGCGCTGCAGAGGGTGGGGGCGGGGAAGGGGAAGGCGAGGGCCGGGAGCCCAGACCCCTGTGGGTGCGGGGGTGCCCGCAGCCTTGGAGTCGCCGGGCTCCTGGCCGAGGCGCTAGTCTGCCCAGGGCGCGCCTGCAGGTTTTGTGCTGCGCGCTCCCCGCTGTTTACCGCCAGCTCAGGACCATCCCCTGCTCCTGCTCACCCTGGGGGAAGGGCTGTGGGAACTCTGCACACTCCCGGATCTTTCTAGCGCCCCGCCCGGGTGGGGGGCGGGCGGGGGCTGTTCGCATTGCTTTCTCCCCTTTCTCAGCTCAGCAAGGGGAGACCGCCCTCGGAAGGACTCTTTGCCCCGCTGGGCCCCGCGCTAACCAGGTTCTGTTCTAAGTGCTGGGGCCTCAAAGGTGTGCAGCTCTAATCAGGGCCCTGCTCTAGGGGGAGGTGGAGAGGGCTCATAGCGTGAAACACACAGCCCGAGGCTCAGCTCTGGGCCGGGAGCTGTGCTGGATTTAAGGAGCATTTGGGAACTTGGACTAAAATTGCCCAGTGGCCAGTTCTCCCTGGAGGCAGACCAGTCAAGTGTGCAGGGTGGGTGAGGGTCCTCTGTAGGCAGAAGTGGAGGGCTAGCCCAGGTGTGTCGCCAAGCCCTGCTGACTGCACATCTCCATGTGCTGGAACAGTGCCACCACAGTCTCGAGGGCCGCCAGCCTGCAGGACTTGTCAGGACTCACCTTCCCTGTAGCCTCAGCAGCATTCGGGCCCTGTTGACCACTCTCATCTGACACCCCTGGCTTTCAAGGCTCCCACTTCCCATCCCCACCCCACCCCACCCCTGAGCTCTTAGGGTCTTCCCTCTGGGGCCACATCTCAGTCTTCTCTGTGGAGCCTCACCCCACCCATCGAGGTCTCGCAGGGCTCTGTGTGGGACCCCTCCCCTTGCCCGTCGGAGTCCTCCAGGCAACTGCCTCAGCCCATCATCAGCCCCACCCCAGCTCCAGGGCTGTGGGGCCACCTTCCTTCTGCACCTCTCCTTGTGGCCGTTGCACAAATTCTCAAACTCAACACATTCACAGCAGAACATACCATCTCCCCATCTTTGTGGGGGTCAAGAGCACAACCCCTCATGGCCAGGCTTCCATTTGCCCCGTCCAGGGATCTGGGGGGAGGACTGCACCGAACACTTAAAGAAGAAATAGCACAGAGGAGGGGGAAGCTTCCAACCCCTCGTATGAGACCATCATAGCCCTGGTACCAGATCCAGACACAGATAAGGCAGGAAAAGCAGATCCAAGTCCAGTATCCCTCAGGAGCCCAGACACAGAACTCCTTCCCAGAATATTAGCAAACCGATTTCAGCAATGTAAAAAAGAGTAAAGCATATGACCAGGCGGGCCTTATCCCAGGAATGTAAGGTTAGTCTAAAGTTTCAGGATTGATCGATACGGGTCACGGTGTTATTCAGCACCCATTCATGATTAAACAAACAAAAAATCTGGAGAAACTAGGACCAGGCTCCTTCAGTCTGATGAAGAGAGGGAAGCAGGCATCACCCGGGTGATGAAGGACTGGCCCGAGTGAGGCGAGAATGCGCCCCGGCACCACTTTATTCCAGCCCACAGGCCTAACCAGTGTAATAAGGCAAGGAAATCAAATCCCAAAACACTTCTGTTTATGCTTTTACATGACTGAAAAGGAAAAATTAAAACCATCTCAATTTGCAGGTGACATTATTGTCTGTAGAAAACCCTGAACTACAAAACTAACAAGTGAGTTTGGCAAAGTCACAGGCTACAAGGCCAGTGTATAAAAATCCTGCTTCTGTATCCTAACAGTGGGCAATTAGAACCTGAAGTTATAAAGACAGTACCGCTTACAAAAAGAATCAAAAGCCTTGAGATACTTAGAGGTAAGTTTAACTAAATATGTGTGAAATTTGTTCACAGAAAACTAGAAGATACCACTGAGAGACTAAAAAAAGACCTAAATAAATGGAGTTGTGCCCTGTTCACGGACTCCAACACTCAGTATTAAGATATTGATTCTCCCCAAATTGATTTATATTTTCAATGCAATTTCAAGCAAAACCACAGGTAGCTCTTTTTTTTTTTTTTTTAAGAAATTAACCAGTTGATCCTAAAATTTAAAAAGAGGTACATAGGACCAAGGAAACCCCAAACAATGTTGAAGAACAATAAAGCCGGGCATTCATCCTCCCTGATTTCAAGTCTCATTATAAAGCTGCATCCGTCAGGATAGAATGTTGGCTTAAAGATAGAGATATAAATCACAGCATGACACTAGAGCCCAGAAATCAATAATTATGTTTATGGCACTAGGTTTTCAACAAAGGAGCCAGGTAACCCACTGGAGAAATGCAATCATTGCAACAAAAGGTATTGAAATGGACATCCTTATGCACATCAAGAGCCTCGAAACTTCCCTCACACTATCTACACATACGGACTAGATTAACTAGTTGATATTAACAAATATTAACTAGAAACGGTTCAAGGACCTAAATGTAAAAGCTATAACTATAAAAATTCTAGAAGAAAACACAGGAGAAAACCTCTGTGTCCTTGGGTTAAGCAAAGATTTCTTAGATAAGATGCAAAAAGCACAAAGCAGAAAGTTTTAAAAACAATAATTGGACCTCAACAAAATTAAAAAGGTTTGTGCTTCAGAAGACACCATAAAGAAAATGAAAAGCCACAGATTGGGAGGAAATGTTTTCAAAACTTACCTCTGGTCAAGGATTTGTATCTAGAATACATAAAGAACTCTTACTACTCGATAAGAAGATTATCCAGTTGGAAGATTGGACAGAACACTGCATCCAAGAAGAGGCGCCGATGGCAAATCGACACCTGAAAACGTGCTTCGTCATCCGAAACAGGAAAGGAGAACCCACGGCGTGATCTGCAGTACACCTGTGAGATCGGCTAAAATTCAGAACACCTAGACCACGCAGCAGCGAGAACTCAGAGCACCAGCACCTGCACGTGCCGAAGGGAAGGCAAAACGGTCTGGCCACTTTGGAAACCGGCTTGGCAATTTCTCGTAACAGTCCACACACACTTAGCACTCAATCTAACAATCCCACTCATAGGTGTTTTCCCAAGAGGAAGTGAAAACTTCTGTGCACACAAGAGCTGGATGCCAACGTGTAGAGCAGCTTCATTTGTACCTGCCAGAAATTGGAAGTGATGCAAATGTCCTTCAGCGGGCAACCGGCTGGATGGGCTGCGGTCTGGTCACACGTAGGTGGAATCCCATGATAAGGAGGGGTGCCCTGCACGGACGGATCTCGGAGACATCTTGCAGGGGAAAGACTCGGGTAACAAACCCTAGCATTTCGTGTCTACATCACTGCAGCCAAGGCAAGACTGTCGTCACAGAAAGCAGACTGTGGCTGCCAGCCGCAGGGTCAGGAGGGAGCTTCTCGCAGAAGGGCAGGGGGGCCTTTTGGGGTGCTGGAAACGCTCCGTAGCATGACTGTGGCAGTTGAGCAGGTGTGCATTTGTGACACACCCTCCACCTGTGCGTGCAAGGTGGCTCGGAGTTACTGCACAAGGGTGGCCGACAGGAGAGAACGAGTTCCACATTGAGGAGCCGAGGGTCCGGGTAGGGAGAGAAAGCCCATATCCCCGCTGGTGTCCTACATCTGATGGCTGTGGGTAGGGGAGTGGGAGAAGGCTTCCTGGAGGAAGCGGGCTCGGGCTGCAGGAGGACACGAGCTCAGAGCAAAGTGGACAGTGCTCCCGCTCGGAGTTCAGGGGGACGTGCCATCTCCACTGCAGCCTAAGTGTTCCCATGGGCAGGGCCCATGCTGTCTGCTCCAGTGGCCCTCGGGAGGACGTGCTAGAAAGAGAAGGTCTGCATGTGGCCCCTGAGAGAGACACAAGGCAGCGGCGCAGCTTTGGCCAGAGGCTGGCGTGGGGGCGCGGGCGGCTGCGGCTCAGCCTGGTGGGGCTCGGGGTGCGCCTTGGTGCGTCCCACACCGCCTGTCGAGTCCCGCCAGCGTCAGGCTGTCTGTGGCTGCCCCAGGTTCGGGGGCATGTGAACAGCCTCCTCTCTGCCTGTCCGACCCCGCAGCTCACATCCCCAGGCCCAGGGATGAGCGTTCCCGGCTCCACAGTGGTTTCCTGAGGCCTAGGGCTGATGG